TTATCCCTCTTTCAAAATTAGTCAAGAAAAATGCTTTAGGTAATAATTGGCTTTAAAATCTCAAAGTTGTTAAGACATAATAAATAGATGTAACTAAAATGAAGAATTTATGATAAAACTTCAGTAATAATTATAAATATGTTAATAATACTAATAAAAGTTCAGTCATTCAAGAGGAGATTGACTATACTCTCTGTTGAAGAAAGAGGACAGTCATCCTTCTCCTGTAAAAGTAAAGAAACCTAAAAGAGAACAAGGGGGGATGGAGAAATGAGATCCTTGTCCTGCCTTCCCCTCTCTATGTGACCAGGGGACAATCTGAGGGAACAGCCAAGATGGCGATTTACAATCCCAGCCACCCCTCAGGAGGAGGGCTGTCCTGATAAGGCCCTGCCCCTGAGGCCTCTACGCCACCAGAAACCAGCACTTTCTAGGTTGCAAAAGGAGTTGGAGCAATATAACAAAAAAAGTTTAAAACCTCTGCTGGAAGACACGTGACTTAGCTGCCAGCTAGACCCATTTTGGGGCCCATAAGTGTATACATAGACCCGAGTTAAGCGCGATACTATTCTCAGGAAAAGAAGGGGGAATGATTTGAAGGTCAGCTATGGATATCTGGGAAAGGGAGCACCTGGCTGGCCCTGGTGTGCTTCCAGCAGATGTAAAATTTCCAAACTCAGGAGCCCCAGTGGGACCTCAACAACAAGGCCCATAGGGGGACACATGAGAGATCTCTTGGGGAACTAATAATTAAAGGGATTAGGGTAGCAGTTCCCTGGTCTCAGAACCTAAATAAAACCTTCAACATTCAGCAAGGCAAAGAAGAAGAACTTTCTGAATTTTACCAAGACTAAAAGATCAAATGAGAAAGTACTCTGGGCCAGACCCTGAGGACTTGTTGGGCCAAGAAATATTAAAAATTATATTTTGGCCCTGACCGGTTTGGCTTATTGGATAGAGCGTCAGCCTGCGGACTCAAGAGTCCCAGGTTTGATTTCGGTCAGGGGCATGTACCTTGGTTTTGGGCACATACCCAGTAGGGAGTGTGCAGGAGGCAGCTGATCAATGTTTCTTTCTCATTGATGTTTCTCTCTATCCCTCTCCCTTCCTCTCTGTAAAAAATAAATAAAATATATTTTAAAAATTATATTTTGTCACCAATAGTTGTCCTGACATTTCAAGAAATCTACAAAGTTAGAGAACTGGAAGAATAGAAGTGCAGAAGAACTCTTAAAAAAAGACTCAAAAGGTCTATGTACATAAGATAAGAAAGGCAGAAACAGAAAGCTAACATAATATTCACAACTGTAGAACAAAGTGGCCCAGGGAAGGGCTGGCCTGGAGGGCCAGGAACAGAAGCCACAATAGTATCACCCAAACCTTAGCTTGTTATCTCTAAGGAAAAATATGGCAGTTTTGAATTCAAGCAGCTAGAGGTCTGGGGACAGGCTGCGGGGCCTACTCCCTTCTCCCCCAGCCCTTTCTTCCAGCCTCATATGCCTATACATAATTTTCCAAAGTCTTTGATAACTTAAAGGCTTTGGAGCATTCCTGGGTTAAATAACAAACATCTAAATATTTTGAAATAACAGGATACTGAAACATTAATTAATTTAAGTTTGCCTCTTAGGGAAAATATAGGGGATAGATTTGAATCTATTAATGAATAAGCCTTGTATTTTATTTGAAATATCTCTTAAAATGTGAATGTATTGCTAATGTGAGGAATATTAATTACTTACATGCCACCTAAAAATTAAGGTTTCTAGGGCTTAAAAATTCAAAAATTATGAAAAGAAGTTATGGTTTTGGTATCATAGAGAAAGCATGAGGCGTGAAAATGCATTTTGAAGGAGAAAGGAAATGGTTTCTAAAGCTGGTTATTTCTGAAAGTTGTAAGATTTCTAAAGAAAGATTTATGAAAGTTATAAAATGTTTGTAAAAAAAATAGAAAAGAAGTTGAATAAATGACACAGGCCAATAAGCCAGAATAAATAGAATAGGGAAATTGAAATAAACAGCAATTTGGAGCCCTCTAGTAAATCCTATCTTCCCTAAACCAAGGACACTTAAGAGTAAATGATTTGCATTTTGCCTACCTAAACAGAGAGTAAATAGCTTATATCAATGTACTCAGGGAGACTGATAACAGAAATTCAATTACAGTGGGGCCTTGACTTACGAGTGTCCTGACTAACGAGTTTTTTGAGATACGAGTCATCTCGGCCGATTTTTTGCTTTGAGTTGCGAGCTAAAATTTGGGTTACGAGCCAGCTTCAGATACCCCACCGCTAGTTGGCGCAGCGAACGTCACAGTGAAAGCCACAACATCAGCCCAGCATCACGTGTCTCACTCGTTCACTTTATGATTTGACATACGAGTAATTTGAGTTATGAGCTCCGTCACGGAATGAATTAAACTCGTAAGTCAAGGTCCCACTGTAGTATCATTTGCTCTTTGCACCCAAGGACAAATGAAGTTAGAAAATAAACCTTATTTTCGTTAGTCCTTTTCTGAAGCAAAAGTTCTACAAATTATTATATGTTATATTAATCAGGTATTTTTAAAAAAGATAATCTTAGTTGTGGGAACTGAAGTTTTACTAGCTTATGTTTCTGTTTAATACCCTCTTGTCACTTTGAATGCTATATAATCTTTTTTTTAAAATATATTTTATTGATTTTTTACAGAGAGGAAGGGAGAGAGATAGAGAGTTAGAAACATCGATGAGAGAGAAACATCGATCAGCTGCCTCCGGCACATCTCCCACTTGGGATGTGCCCGCAACCCAGGTACATTCCCTTGACCAGAATCGAACCTGGGACCTTTCAGTCTGCAGGCCGATGCTCTATCCACTGAGCCAAACCGGTTTCGGCACTATATAATCTTTTGGTAGAATGGGTTTGACAACCTTCCTAGGGTTTAAACTTTAAGAAAAGTTTTTTGTTTTTTACCTAGAGTTAGCTGTAGATGATTCCAATAGGTCCTGGAATGCCTCAATATCTTCCTACAATGGAAACTAGGGACCAAATTTCTTAAGATACTGGGTATCTCTTCTACTTTAATCTCTCTCAGGTTAGAAGGCCTCCTGACCCAAAGCCCTCTTGATTTTCTAGTTCATTGCCATTGACCAGAAGACTATGTTTGTTTTAATCAAGATTTGGAAGGGAAGCAAGTTGGAACCCTCTTGGGAAAGACCCTACCTGTCTTGCTTACCACAGAGACTGCTTTTTGGACTGCAGAGTGAGGTTGGACCCATCACACACGGGTTAAGGGTGGATGTCAGGGCCAGCCTGACAGGTTGAGCTGGGCTGAGGTAGGGAGGTGGGAATTGAGAAAAGAAAGAAAGACAGGAAAGCGGGATCGGGAGGACTACAGCTCTCGAGGAACTGCAGCAACTTTATTAGTCACACAATCCTATTTATACACAACACACTGAATAGGAGGTCTGTCAAGAGGAATGTATTCTTTGTTCCTCTTAATCTCTAAGGGAGGGACAGAACAGAAGGACAAGTTCTCAGTACAGCATATCTCAGTAAATAGTTACAGACTTCTTGGTAAGCCATGAAAGGCTGTTCTCATTCTACAAAGGTTGCTCTCATTCTACTGATAATCGCCATCCAAACAAGTCTGGGAAAACTGTGTGGGTAAGGGTCCCAGCCTTGCTAGCCCCTTCAGGTGCAAGGACCTTGCCAGCTTACATCTGGCCCCCAATAGGCGGACACACCTCAACTTGAACAGCCATACCAGGACATATCCCCTTGAAATTGATGCTAAAAACTGTGAGCTGTCTTAATAACCATCATGTACTGAGTTCTATTTGCTTTAGGGATCTGGCAAATTGCAGGGGCTTACAATGTGGGCTGGGGAAATGTGTCCAATCTGGATCATGCATACACATTTAAGTTATTGATTATAGATAACTTAAATGATTTGTAATCATTTCAGCCTTTAGGCCAAAAGATTGGCTAGGACTAGATTTAGGAATAGATGTCACAGGACAAGATCCCCTAGGCCACTGCCACCACCATGCAAACAGAAGTAGGATATAAGGGAACAAATGCCTGGGTGGAATTGATTAAATATTCTGCACAGGCCCTAAATAAAAGTGACTGTTACGTTTGTGCAGCAGGAAGGCTAGAGGCCCAAGTGGTCCCATTTGCATTCGGAAGGACCTCAGACTGTAATGGGATGGAATATGTGCTTGCCTTGTACCAGGAGGAAACTGCCTGGGGAAATGCTTCCTGTAAGACTCTTCCCTGTTGTTCTCATTCAACAGAGGTAAAGAGCAAGGTCCACCCCCCACCCCCCCAAACAATCCGGCCCTGTCCTACGACATAAACTATACCTCCTGCCTCTCAAGGGGGAAACAGTGTTCAGAGTTTATGAGAAATTTATCCAGATGCGTAAATGGCCAAATATTCTTAGAAGCCAATAATGCCGCACTGTCGATACCCCGTGCTGATGCCTGGTGCTGTTATGGGGGACCCTGACTTGTGGCCTTGCTCAGCAAATGGAGTGGAACTTGCGCTCTGATATAATTGGCTATCCCTTGCACTTCGGCATAACGTAAACCTTTTTCAATGGACAAACTAGGAAGAGGAGAGAGAGTCCAGGGGGCTCCATTGATCCCCATATGTACAAAAATCTCATCGGGTTCCAGGAGGAGTGCCAAAGGAGTTTAAAGCTAGAAATCATATTGCCGCTGGATTTGGATCTGTCCCATTCTGGTGGCCCACTGTAAACAAGTTTGTGGTTGGATTAATTATATTTACTACTAGAGGCCCCGTGCACGAATTCGCATTCCCGCATCATCTCCTTTTCATCCAAACAGTATGTGGGGCAACACCCAACCCTTCCCCAGCTTCCTGAAAACCCTCAGTGGGGTGGGCAACCCCGCTGCCGCCCGGCTTTCCACCTCCTTCCTTCTCTAATCAGGCCCCTCCCCTCTTCTCCAGCCCTACAACTTCCGCTTGTCCGGTCGCCTGGGAAACCGCTTACTTCCGGTCGCGCCGCTGTGGGCCGGGCGAGATGGCTGAGGAGAGACAGCCCACGGTGAGCACAGATTCTGTTTTGTGTCCGGGCCGCCAGGCGGGACTGGATGGGGCCGGGCCCTGCGGGAGCGGCGGAGCCCAGCGGCGAGGCAGGCCGTCAGGCGGCCTTGGTTTTTCGCAGCTGCCCCTGGACGAGGGCGGAGACGGGCGAGCGACTCGCGGAGGGCGGCGGGCAGGGGCCAGCTCCCGGAAAGTGGTTTGCCGGGCGCAGGGCTGAATTCTTTGCAGCATTTAGCCTATGGCTCCTCTTGGGGTCACCTGAACGGAAAAGGGGGGTTTTCATTAAAAAAATGGCTCTTTCCTCGCCCCATTTCTTGCGTCTCATTGGGTTTGGAAAGGCATTAACCATCGCTTGTGCAGAGGCAGGCAGTTCCTTTTAATCCCCCGGATTAGGAATTGAATGTGGCAAAGCCTGGAAGCATCACTGCCTTCTGCCGATGGGGCGGGGCCGTGTTTTCTCTGCTGTGATTAAATTTAGGATAGGACTCTAGTCTAGGGATTAAACTCCACAGAATTGCCATTACAAAGTAACCAGGTGGATTCGGGGTGACCCTGTAGTAATTTTTGAGGCGTGTATTCATAATTGAATGTAGTTACAAGTGTGAAACTTTGTTTTCCTTATTTTAGTATTGGGTTTCAGAGCTTGTTTTGAGCGTTTGTTAGAATGACTTTAGTTATTCACTCGGAGTTTATTGATTGCCCTTTGAAAAACACCCCGGAAAACAAAGACAAATGTTGACTGTTACAGAGCAAGGCCAATATTATTATCTGTTAGAGGGGTCGCTTGTTTTCTATTCTTTTTATATTAGAAGAGAAACTAAATTATTTTAGTGTAATCAGAAAACTGAGTACCAGAGCAGGAGGCCCTATGCAAAGATTTCTGTAAACTACGAATTAAAAAAAAAAGCATAATTAGTGTTACTAGGTTTTTGATATTGGAAACACCAAAGAAAATACTTCACCTACATAATCTTAAATGTAAAGTATCATGTAAGATATCCTTACTACAAATATTCTTTAGTGTTTATTGTAGGTATAGTTAGATAGGTGTTCACAGGTAGTCTGTGAACTTGATTTCTGTGAAGGCAGAATACACCTGTGATTTTGAGTCTCTAATAGTGTTTTAAAGGGAATGGCTTTTAAATATATATATATATTGATTTCAGAGAGGGAGAGTTAGAAACAGTAATGATGAGAGAGACATATTGATCGGCTGCCTCCTGCATGCCCCAAACTGGGGATCGAGCCTGCAACCCAGGCATATGCCCTGACAATGACCTCCTGGTTCATAGGTGAACGCTCAACCATTGAGCCAAACTGGCTGGGCAGGGAATGGCTTTTTTAAAAAAAATATATTTTTATGATTTTTTACAGAGAGGAAGGGAGAGGGATAGAGAGTTAGAAACATCGATCAGCTGCCTCCTGCACACCCCTTACTGGGGATTTGTGCATAACCAAGGTACACGCCCTTGACCGAAATCTAACCTGGGGTCCTTCAGTCCGCAGGCTGAGCTCTATCCACTGAGCCAAACCGGTTAGGGCAGTGGTTGGCAAACTTATTAGTCAACAGAGCCAAATATCAACAGTACAACGATTGAAATTTCTTTTGAGAGCTAAATTTTTTAAACTTAAACTATATAGGTAGGTACATTGTTATTAACTTAATTAGGGTACTCCTAAGCTGGCCTTTGCTAAAAACGTCCTCAATCTGATTGAGGTACATTCGCTGAGGTCGACCCCTTCCAATTCTCGCATCCACACTCGTCTTGTATACTTGTTTCGTCTATCTCCTTTCGGAAAACCTACTTCTGCTCATGGGCCACGAAGTTTCAGTCACATTGTACGTGCGCGCCCGCACGTGGTATTTTGTGGAAGAGCCACACTCAAGGGGCCAAAGAGCCCCATGTGGCTCGTGAGCCGAGGTTTGCCGGGTTAGGGCAAGGCTTTTTTGTTTTGATATGACTTTAGCACTTGAACCTGAAATTTAATTATTTTCATTATTGTCAAATTTATTGCTAGCAGTGTTATATTTATAGTAGCTATGTTTTCAAGTTACCACTGCATGGAAATTTGAGTTTCTTCCTTTTTTGGAAATGATCTGGCATCTTGTAATAAAATGACATGATAATCTTACTCCTAGACCTGTATCCTATCAAAATAGAAGCAAAAGCATATAGTACAAGTGTGTTTATTTTTTTTATTTTTATTTTTTAAATATATTTTATTGATTTTTTACAGAGAAGAAGGGAGAGGGATAGAGAGCCAGAAACATCGATAAGAGAGATCCATCAGCTGCCTCCTGCACGCCCCCCAGTGGGGATGTGCCCGCAACCAAGGCACATGCCCTTGACCGGAATCAAACCTGGGACCCCTGAGTCCGCAGGGCGACTCTCTATCCACTGAGCCAAACTGGTTCCGGCACAAGTGTTTTATTGCAGTACTGTTTACAGTTGCAAAAGCTGGAAACAGTGAATGTCCACTGGTGAGGTAATGGATGACTTTTGGTATTTCCATATGTAAGAAGAATATACAGCCATTAAAAAGAATGTTAGAACTATATATGTTGACTTGGGGGGATTTTCATGGTATATATTTAAGTAAGAGCTAGATGTGAAGTGAGGTATATTGTGTGATCTTAATTTTGTGACACAAAGAAAAAAAATAGATCTGTGAATATGTATATATATATATGTGGCAAAGACAAAGACTTAGAACTCATAGAGAGAACTTTGAACAAATGTATAAGTAAAAGTCTATGATTGAAGGCCTTGAGGCCAGAGATATCCCAGTAAAATGGAGTGAAACTAGCCCAATGTGGGGCACACAGGAATTCTGATTTGCTACCCAAGTTATTTATTTATTATTATTATTTTAAATATATTTTGTTGATTTCAGAGAGGAAGGGGGAGGGAGGGAGAGAGATAGAAACATCAATGATGAGAGAATCATTGATCGGCTGCGTCCTGCACACCCCACAATGGGGATCAAGCTTGGAACCTGGGCATGTGTCCTTGACTGGAATTGAACCTGGGACCCTTCAGTCTGCAGGCCGACGCTCTATTCACTGAGCCAAACCAGCTAGGGCTACCCAAGTTATTTAGATTAATAGTTCCTTACGGAGGAAAAATGGGGACTGATATTTATATTTTATTTAAGAATAAAATGGTTTAGAGATCTTTTTAAAAATACTGAGCAAATAGCTCTGGTTTCTATGATTTATGCTTATAACATTTTTTGTAATTCTCATTTTTTTTTCAAATATATTTTTATTGACTTCAAAGAGGAAGTAGGGGAGAGAGAGAGAGAGAGAGAAAGAAAGAAACATCAATAATGAGAGAGAATCATTGATTGGCTGCCTCCTGCACCCCCCACACCACGGTCAAGCCCACAACCTAGCCATGTGCCCTGATGGGAATCAGACTGTGACCTTCTGGTTCATAGATCAATGCTCAACCACTGTTGCTACACTGGCTGGGCTAATTCCCATTATTTAATGTCTTCATATAAACAACTTTCTTCCAGTAAAGTTTAAACCTTTCAGAACATAAAACAAAATACTACTGCACTAGTTTACTTGGTTCAGATAGAGTACCTACCACATATCAAGCATTACATAAATATTTGTTAGATGCACAAATGATCACAGAACCACATAAAAATGAAGAAGGAACAAAAAAAAATTTATTCTTCATCCCAGCTATAAATGAAATGAAATCAGGTGGGTTAATAGAATTCTTTCCATCTCAGAATGTTTGGGGAAGTCTTTTGAGAGAAACATAAAAATATACATAATTTATTTTAATTCTATTTTGTGTACGAAGTAGGGTTGCTGACTTATGAAGATGCTTTTTGAACCTTTAAGAATCCTTACTTGGCCCTAGCCAACTTGGCTCAGTGGATAGAGCGTCAGCCTGCGGACTAAAGGGTCCCAGATTTGATTCCGGCCAAGGGCACATGCCTGGGTTGTGGGCTCGATCCCTGGTGTGGGGTGTGCAGGAGGCAGCCAATCAATGATTCTCTCTCATCATTGATGTTTCTGTCTCTCCCTATTCCTTCCTCTCTGAAATCAATAAAAAATATATTAAAACAACAACAAAAAACAATGGAGGTTTTTTTTTTTTGTTTTGTTTTTTTTTTTTTTTGTTTTTTTTTTAGCACTGTAAAACCAGCTTTGTTGAGGTATAAGTATATATACCATAAAATTTACCCATTTTAAATATATAGTTTGATTACTTTTAGTAACTTTATATAGTTTGCCAACCATCACAGCTTATGTCCATCACTCCAAACAATTCCCTTGTGTCCATTTGCAGCCAATCCCTACTTATAATCTGTGGAGAGCAGCTACAGTGTTTGGACAGGTTCAAGCCTCATACTAATGAGAGGGCACAGTCCTCTCATGGCAAAGCCATGTGCAAGTCCTAGCTTGGAGGGCAAAGCCCTCCCAGCACAATTATAGCCAAAGGCTAAAGTTGTAAGCTTGACCTTATGGTCCGAACCTGTGGTCCCACGTGGCTAAGTGATACAGGTTGTGGAAGGTGCAGCAAGTAAACAGAGCTTGATCAGGTGCATGTAATTAAGTAGATTTGAAACCCTCGAGAACATTGTAAACATCTTGACCACGCCCTTAATTTGCCTCCTGGAATCTGGTATAAAATAAAAACTCAGCTTGCAGGCTGTGGCGCTGTCTCTCTATCAGAGAAGCAGCATCCCGCCTAGCCCCAGCTTTATTTTCTTGCCTGTCTTCTCCCCTTTACCGACCCCTCTCAGGTTCACCCATAGCTGTGCTGGTGTGGCACAGTAATCACAATGCACTGTTGACCTGCTTTCTATCTCCATAGTTTTGCCATTTCTAGCAATTTCATATAATGGAATCATACAATATGTAGTCATATGTGTCTTACTTTATTATCTTAAAATATATTTTTATTTAACTCATGGTTATTTTAATTTTAATTTGTATTTCCCTAATGGATAATGATATTTATTAGCGTCACCGAA